GAACAGAAAAAATAATAAGAAAAATTGTTTAAAAAAAAGCAGAACAATGTAAACGGTGCAATAAGGCCAGTGCTCAGCTAAAATGCCGTGTAACGAGCGCTATTGCTCGAGTCGCGGCGCTGAATTTCAGCACAAACCTGTTACCAAAACTATTACTGTTATTTCTTACTTAACTAAAACCATTCCGATGGCTACCCAACTGTCAAAGGTCACCAGGTCACCGTAATAAATTCTGGAGCCTCTACTGAATCATAGATCATCACCCTTGAATTGATTAGTTCTGAAGCCTTCTAAGTGCTAAAAAGACCCTCGTCTCCCCCTTGTTTGAATACCTACTTATATATTTTACTTTATTATGGCTTAGAAGACATCAATAAGTGCTGATAATAAGGTAGATGGAACGGTGTACTCCATTTTACTTTTCGCGACCCTCATTAGGACAACTGGGACCACAAAACTGGGTGCTTACTCTTGAAACCAATCTCAATGTCAATGCAATTGCAATCCAATAAAATCTCAATAATTATCCAATGTCAAAACTATACAACCCCTATCGTAGCTGTTAAAATAGCATTCAGACTGATTCAGAGTACGGAATATAAAACTAAACTCAATACCAATTAGTTCATGAAATATCCACGCAATACGGATGCAATGGGCGCTAGTGTTGCAACTCAAGAGTATGAAATTTCACAATGTCAATGTCGATCGATCGGAATTGGATTCAAGAATAAGCCCCCAGAACTTAGGTAATTGTTTTAATATTTCTAGAAGGTTTATCTATAACTAATTGTGCCCGCAACTTCATCCGCTTGGAATACTCACTTTGGATAGTTCATCATAGCTCCTCCCCCGTAGGTGACAGCGTGATCATATGTGGCCAATATGTGGGGCATGCTAGTAATATGCATACAAAGTTTGAAGTAAATCCATGCAGTATTTCTTGAGTTTAACCTTGATATCGACTGTAGATTACGCTCCAAGTATTATTTTTAAATATATTTATACACATAACATAATATAACATCACGCCTTTTATCCCCGAAGGGGTAGGCAGAGGTACACACAGAAGTAACACCCACTTTTCACTATTTATGTTATGAGTCCCATGTAATAGGGGGCATTAGGGGGTGAGCCCTATTACATGCCAGCCTATTGCCATATACCGGGAACATTTTCAGACTCCGTGCTACTACTGAGATTTTTTTTTAAAACCCAGAGTAATACTTTGCCCGACCCGGGAATCGAACCCGAGACCCCTTGCCCGGTAATCGCACTCGCGACTACTCGGCCAACGAGGCAGTCAAATATATTTATAATGTACAGTTTTGACTTTCCTCCGATATTATTATATTATGTACCTATGTGTGTTATAGGTGATACAACTGTGTTAACTATGATAATGCTTTAACAATAATTATGAATCAATGTTTTCAGGAGCGTCCTGGCATCATCAAGGCGTACATGATCATGTGGATTGTATTCTTCATACTGTCAATGTTCATCTTCTTCCTCAACGCCTCCAACATCAGTGTCGGCACTATTTGTACCGAAATGATTTATATTGGTAAGTTATCGGTGTATTAGATACTGCCTACTCCCGTGTTCCACCCGCAATGCTTGGTTCCTATTGGCTGTAGCGTAATCTAACACAAAAAGATAATTTTAAACCGAATCAGTAGTCCCAGAGATTTATGCGTTTAAGCAAAGAAACAAACTAACTTTTTATATAATTAATATACTAGCTACCCGCCCCGGCGTCGCACGGGTGCAATATGCATGTATTATACATATAAACCTTCCATAAGAATCACTCTATCTATTAACAATAACCGCATCAAAATCCGTTGCGTAGTTTTAAAGATCTAAGCATACATAGGGACAGACAGACGGCGGATAGCGACTTTGTTTTATACTATGTAGTGATACCTTTTTTCTCACTTTTTGAACTTTGTCTGGACGTCATCAAAGACGACTAAAATCAGCCAAATCGGTTCAGTCATTCCCCAGTTTTAGGGAGAATAACGAACAGCATTCATTTTTATAAGAATTGGCACCAATTAGTAACGTTTTGCACTTATACCTGTATAAATAAGGACTTACCTTCCTTCCATTCCTTACGCATCCTTTAGTTAATTAGGAAAAAAAATAAGTTTTCATTTATTACATTTCAGCTCACAACGTGTACACCATCCTTCTGTGCCACAGTTTCTACAAGCAATTGAACACCAGAGAAGAAGTGTAAACCAATTATGAAGCTTCTATTAATTTTTTTTAGTGCCAATAGCATTTTCGAAAGGCTGACAATAAAACTATTTAACTGCCATTTCAAAAACTGTAATTTTAAAATTACTCGCGATTTTTATCATTTTATGTAACGTCGTAGATGAAATCTAAAGAACGATGTTATTTAAATAACAAGAAGAAGAAGTAGACAATATTATTCTACACCTTACTTACATCACTGTATAAAGACGGAACTCGATTAATTTCAAGCCGCATTGGGGGCTTATAAACAGAAATGCGTTACAAACAATCTATATTTTAAGCCTTACACTAGCTGCTGTCGAAGTTAAATGTCAAAAGCCTCCATATACCTCTATTATGTATATATTAGCAATTATTTTTATTCACGTTTCATTAACCTTTTAATTGGCCGGCAAATGAAACACTCAATAGAAAACCAATGTGTTTTCTATTGAGTGTCTCATATATCTACGTTAAGGCATACCACGGGTTAATGAATGCCATAAATGTGCCAAAATTATGTCAAATTATTAAACATAAGTAAGCTATATCTAAATATTTTATTTCAATGCTATTTTAATTTAATGGTTGTAGGTAAATAAAACATAATGTCAGAATTTATATATGAATCGTTTATTATTCAATTTGTTAGTTGTTGTTACTATATATGTCTATATAAAAATATTAATACTGTTTTAAAATTCACAATATTGTTTTCTTACCCCTTATCTTTTTTTGGAGCAATTAAACACATAAACGCGTCAGTCAAGTTATTTAGCATGTAGGTTTAAAAATAAGGATAGATTCAGTACAGAGATAGTAGCCAGTGGTTACATAAGATATCTACATTTAAAAAAAAACGTTGCCCCACACTAAGATTTTCTCCTGTGTCGTGGGTGCGTTTACAAACATACAATATCCAGGGGCGTAGCTAGCGCCGTATATGCCGTATCAATTATACGGGGCCCCGGACTACGAGGGCCCCCAACGTGTGTAAGCAAAAATATAAAAACTTCTCAATTTACATTTTATTTCAGTAATCACAAAATGCATACGATCAAAGGTTGGCAGCAACCATGTAATATAGAATAATCTATTCCGTGGCAGAAACTTCGGAAAAACTAAAGTATCTAATCATTGTTCGATAATTTGGGTAGAGGAGGTATTTTATGTAAAAAATATAGCTTTTGATAAATTTTTACCTTTCATAAGGGCCCGCCCCCAAACAAATTTTATACGCTACGCCACTGACAATATCACTACACATGACACCCAAACCCGAAACAACAATTTATGGATCACACAAAGACTTGCTCCGTGCGGGAATCGAACCCGCGACACATTGCGCGTCGGCCAGTGGCCCAGGCACCGCGCCAACAATGCAATATAATTTAAGTAACAGTAATTACGGTATCTGAAATGATTTAATCTTTATTTTCTCTACTTTAGGACGAACTTTCTAGATGGACAATTAATTACCGACTATAAGAACTCAGTACAACTATCAAGAATAGTGAAACAAGTGAATTTATTTCTGCAAGTAGGCTACAAGGCAGCACTTTTACACGTCAATTTTATCAAGCGAACGATGAGGTCGACATTTCCTAACTGAGTACTCTGAGAAGAAATGCCGAAACAAACTCAGAATTGCGAAATATTTTTTTTTATTCTTGACATTCTAAAACTACGGACTAACTAGATAAAGACTAGCAGTACCATCCTCTACCTACATTTTCGGTGACTTAACTGCTATCCCCAATCTTATATGCAAACCTGGGGATTATTGACAACGCCCTTTCCCTTTACGTCTGAGACATTGATGGGGCACTGGACATCTGCCAGCACATTAAGGTATGGTGACAATTGTGGATAAGACAAGCTACTATTTCCCAAAATATTGTACATTGTATATTATATGTTGTAGTAAGCAACAATTCAAGGAAATATTGTTTTTAATTGGGATGACATTAGTAATTGGGATGATGATGGGTATACAAATTAAAAATATAATTAGTCCTTAAGTTAATCATGAAAAAATATTAGACACGTTTTTTTATTTTGTCGTTTAATAAAACAATACTTAGATAAAACGAATCAAAAGAGTGGGGGCTAAAATGTTCATAGAAGTGACGTCACGCGACATTTCAAATCAATATATCGCCGTAAGTATTCGTTTCTGTAAGAAATAAAAAAATACGTGTCTAATGATTTAAAATGATATCAGACGGACATTAAAATAAAAATTATTCATCTACCCTATTCATGGAAATATTGTTTTTACGAATATTTGCTTACATTACCTAGTAAGTCGAAAAAGCCGCAGTGCGTCAAATCACATATCATGTTATACTATTTTCCTTTCCTTATAACGCGCTAATCAATTGGCATTTTGTTTTATAGGAAAACTAAAATTAGGTTATTATTATTTCCTATACGTTATATCCAGATTGTCATCAAAGCATTCGACCAAAAGGTCTTCGTCGTCGGCTTGTTGGTGGAATCTTAAGTCTTTGCCTCTGTTCATAAGGTCGTAAACCGTGTAAATCACCACCAGGAAATGTATGTGGAGAACTGCAAGAAAAAAAAATTTTATTAACATTTGGTGGAGAGATTGCCAAAACAACTGGCGAACAAGAGGTCTTTGGTTCGGTGCTTGAATCGGACAAATGTGTAAATAACGGTGTCAATAATGCAATTTTTATAGATTCTTCGAAAATTTGTCTAATAACAGTACTAATTACGTAGTTCGGGATTGCATATAGCAACAGTGTCATTCTCATCCTCTATTTCATGGGATTCATAGCATACCTGACGATTAATAAATTTAATTATTATGTTTTCGGCCTACCCACGACTGTTTGACAAGGAACCATTTGACATAATAATTTATTTAGTATGTCGCACGAAAGTTTTAATATAAAACTGACGAACAGTTGATAAATTATCTATGTACTGTTAGACGACAAAAATCAACTAAAAGAACGTCACTAGTTGAGTCTGTATTATCGACAGCACTAGCTGTCATGTTGACGATGTCATCTGTCAAATGTGACAGATTAGAAAAGTTTCCCGCGCGAAGAGTGGTAACGCGCGATTCTGGTGGGAAGTTTGACGAGCATCACGCTGTGTTCTTATAAGAATCCGATTAGAATAAACTTTTCAGTACCTATTCAAGTATTGAGTTTTACTTTAAAGTACCCTAACTACATATTTGAAAGGCATGTTGCATCTAGGTAGTCTATGCAGGCATTGTAGGTACCTCTTCTCTGGTTACAAAAAATGCCTGATGTATTGTTTAAAGTTATGTTATAGTACATGACTACTCACAACTCGTCAAGTGCTATGTGTGCATCGGCCTTAATGCTGATTCTTAGTACCAGTGTTATAGTGCATTACGACACGTAAAGTGCAAAGTGTGCATCGGCCTCAATGCCAATGCTTAGTAAGACCCTTACATGTGAATATGTATTGCGACACCTCGCGGTATTGTTCGATACTGACTCGCTAACTTACCGGAAAGTGATTTCGTCATACTAATTGTAACTTAGGATTAATCATTAGCATTATAATATGATCATTCTGATTCTTGCATCGAACAGGATCAATTGTATTAGCAGATAGGAATTAATTTGTAACCTTTTTAATATTAATTAAAGTTTGTCTAAGAAGTTCTTGGTTTTCTTTGGAGCCTCCGGCAGCGATCTACATAATTG